GCCCACCCAGGGCTTGTGTGTCACACAGATAGCAGCCCCCAGTGTCCCCATCAGTCGTACTCAGCACCACTGAAGGCCTCCTCTGACTGCACGGTGCTTCCTCCTCCAGGACCTGGCCACACTCTGCCCTGGATGAGCACAGTCCCCATGGGGACCACAAGCCAGTACAGGCATTTTAGTTTATTTTTTAATTTCATGTCAATCGATTATTTGTTTATTTTTGAGGCAGGGCCTATGTAGCCTTGGATGACCTTGCCCTTCTGGTCCTCTGCCCTCCACCTTGCAGTGTTGAACGCTCCCTTCCTGGCTGGACAACACTGGGAAGTACTTGGGTGTGGCACCTCCCCAGTTCTCAATTTCCTCCTTATGCCCGACATATTCATACCACGCTGCTCCCTCCTCCCCACATTCCGATCACCCCAGCCATCTGGACCAGAGGCACTGGTGTCGTCTGTGGCTGGGTAATTTGCATGGAAGTACAAATAGATCTGCCCAGCTTGGGCCGCCTCCGCACTCCTCTCAGCCTGTCACACCTGGGCACAGGGGTCTGCAGCCCGTGCTGAGTGAGTGGAGATTTGCATTCTCTCGTGTATTTCTGGGTGTCCGATGGGGAAGCCTCTAAGAGGAAGTGAGCAGAGAAGCGGGGGGGGGGGGGGCGGCGTCTCATGTGTGAAGGTCAGAGGTCAGCATAGGTTATCTCAGTCATTCTTCCTCACTATGTATCCCTGGCCATCTGAACTCTCTGCCTCCTAAGGCTGCAATTAAAGGCCTGGCTCCACCTTATTTGAGACAAAATCATTCACTAACCCTGGAGTTCAGAGATTCAGCCTATCTGACTGGTCAGGAAGTCCTACCTCCCCAGGGTAGATGACTTTTTATGTGGATGCTGGAATTTCAACTCATGCCCAGGCAGAACCCTAGCCTCCCATCCACCCCCTAGCTGCTTACACCTGACCCCAACCTGCTCCCATGAGAGTCTGAGTGTCACCGAGTATTCTGGAGCCCAAGACGGGGATCAGGAGTTGAAGCCAACCTAGACCCTGTCTCAAAAAATAAAAAAATAAAAATGAATAAATAGCTAGGAGTGGTGGTTGTGCCTTAGCACCAGCACTGGGGAGGCAGAGACATGGGGGTCTCTGTGAGTTTAAGGCCATTCTGATCTACATAGCAAATTCTAGGCCAGCTAGGGCTACATAATGAGACCCTGTCTTAAAACTAAATGAATTAGCTGGGCATGGTGGCTAACCTTTAATCCCAGCACTCAGGAGGCAGAGACAAGTGGATCTCTGTGAGTTTGAGGCCAGCCTGGCCTACACAGTGAGTTGCAGGACAGCCTGGGCTATGAGATCCTGTCTCAAGAAATGAAAATAAAAAGCCCATTTCTCCACAACTTTCTCTGTGCCCTCAGTGACAGACAGAAGTCATCTGTGTGCTCAAGGCAGAGGCCCCTCCAGCCCTGCTCCAGGCTCCAACCACCTTCCAGCCTCGGGGCCCTTGTCTCTTCTGGTCCCTTCTGCCAGGAACTTATTTCCTCAAGTCTCTGTTCAAAGAGAGCCCCTACATCCCTTCTCTGAGCACACCACCCTTATTCTCCCTTCCTCACATTTCAAGGACAGAGAGAGCTGCCCTCAGGTCTTCTAGAACCCAGGGACTCAGGTCCATGCCTGGCCTGGCTCCCATGGGACCCGGGACTGGGGCATTTCCGGAGTCATTTTGGCCAGGGGAACCTCTGGTCCAGTGCCCCCCTTCAGCCTCCAGGGACCTGCCTGGGTTCTGACCACACATCCCAGCCCTGGGAAAGGCATGACTCCAGCAAAGGGTAAAATTAGCGACGGGGTTAAATTTAGTAAGAGAATCTGGAGCAGGGCCTGCTGTTCCTTGATCTGTTCCTTGGACTTGACTTGGAGACCCAGTTCAGAGAGGGTGGAGGCTAGCCCACAGCATCT